TATTGCTTTCTGATCTAGTCACATTGCAGTTTCATTTTGCCTTAAGTAGGTTTTAGAATAGCCTTTATACTCATACAGCTCTTGCCTTCAGTAAAAGATAAACTTCATTACCAGTATGTTTTCTACAATACATGTATGAAAGTCTATATATATATATGTTACATACTCGTCTCCATATTGTTAAGATATTTTATCTGATCCCAGTATACTGTGGGATTTCTTTGTCCCTACTTACATTCTAAACACGAAAGAGCACTGGCATTCCTAAGTTAAAAGTTTGTAGATAGGCAGCAGAGAGGCAGGTGGAAGAGGGGAATCTGCCATGGGTATTTCCACAAAGCAACGGCAAGTGGAATTACTGTAAGTGGGAACTTTGATCCTTTGTCAAACATTTCATTTACACAGTTTTCAAACACCTGCTTCTCCAGCTAAGAATACACTAGAAACGTATCCTCTATGTTAATTTCTGTGGGACAAAAATGGCTCTGCGTTGTCTTCAGTGCCACCTCCCATCCTCACTGGTGTCCCCACTAAAGGAGAAAAGCACCTTTTTTTTTCCCCCCCCCAAGATCAAATGAACAAATTATTTTTTAGGATTATGCATCCCAGGTGAAATCCTGTCTTGTCTTCCTATATCTCCCATGGGAACAGTTAACGGAACTGTGTAAAACTTGTTCTAGCACGATTTTTAAATACAATTCTGTTTAAAATAAGAAAAACATTATGTCATTTAATTGACAAGGTGTCCAGTTCTGTGCACTGACAGATCCCCAAAGTACAGCTGAAATGTGAACTGCCATAGCAAAGAGCACATTTGCAGGGGAGGCAGAGTTACACTAGTTCCACATAATCACTTAATCAGATACATATGTACTGGATTGAGCATACTTATCAGTACTGCTCAATTCATTTTAGGTTATGCAATGGAGCAAACATCTACCTGATGCTACAAACAGCTGAGATAACACGCCTGCTGATCTCACTCAAAACATCGTAACTGCTTTATTAGCTACTTACATCAGATGCTGTCACAGCAATGGCCACTTTTAAAGTTCTGGGTTAGAAACATGCCTATGCTGCTGTTATTTCTCACCTGAAGCCAAAAAGTACTTCTAAAATTGGTTCTCCAGAAACTGAGACAGCATTCTGAGAGAGCACAGTGACATTTAAAGCGCTAACCCTAACTTTATAGCAACTGAAGGGGAGTGGTTCGCTCAGCTGTGATGAGGCACGAGGAACTATTTTACAACACAAATGAAAGAAAACTGCACAGAGTTGCAGCTCTCCGTTGAGTGATTTACAGAAAGTTTAATACAGAAATGAAGCTGAACACTAACAAATATGTGAGGAAAAAGGCCGGGTTGGACAGAGCCTTGGGCAACACTGTCTAGTGTGAGATGTCCCTGCCCATGGCACACTGTAGACACACCACAGAATGTAAGTCAGTTACTCCCTTAATAGCAAAACAAACACACAGGTTAGCATCCTGTAAAGGACGGGTGACTACATCAGTAGGTTACTAACTCAGACCATGAACTTTATCTCAAAATATTGCATTTAACTTTTAAACAACTGTCGTGGTTTAAGCCCAGCCGGTAACTCAGAACCACGCAGCTGCTCGCTCGCTCCCCCCGTTTCCTCCCCCGGCTCCCGGAGGGATGGGGAGCAGAATCAGAGGAATGTAACTCCCACGGGTTGAGATAAGAGCACTCCAGTAACTGAGGTATAATACAAACCACTGCTGCTACCAATAATAATGATAAGAGGAATAACAAGGGAAAAGGACACAACCACTCACCACCCACCAACCGATACCCAGCCCGACCCGAGCAGCGATCTGGGCCTTCCGGGTGACTCCCCCCAGTTTCTATACTGGGCATGATGTGCTGGGGTATGGAATACCCCTTTGGCCAGTTTGGGTCAGGTGTCCTGTCTCTGCTTCCTCCTGGCTTCCCCTCCTCTCTGGCAGAGCATGAGACTGAGAAAGTCCTTGGTCAGAGTAAACATTACTGAGCAACAACTAAAACCATCGGTGTTATCAGCGTTGTTCCCAGGCTGAAAGTCAAAAACACAGCACTGCACCAGCTACTAAGAAGGAGAAAAAATGACTGCTGTAGCTGAACCCAGGACAACAATGAACTTTTTCATTGTTCAAAACAAGTTTTGGAGAACTCGTAACATTTTGCTCACTGACACAGCTATATTTTATTAAGAACAAAAATGGGTTAGTCTACAAAAATTAAATTCTACTCGTTTGACTGTATCTAGTCAATAGGAAAAAGTCTTAATTATGAGATTGTGCTGTCAAATAAATGCAAATTCATGTCTTTCATATTCTGGGTTAAAAATTCAAACTCAAGCCTATTATAAATTAAAATCAATATTTGAAACATTTCAGCTTTCAATGATAAGCAACAACCAAAAGAATCAAGTTATGAAATATACTGGTAGGAATAGAATGAATTATTAAATAAACCTTTGGAGGAAAAGGGGATTTATATTACACACATTTAAATATCAATTAGGAAAACGAACAATAGAGGATCATGAACTGAATCATCTGTTTTACAATCGCTCCTCTTTAGAACTGACTGAGAACAACAGAGAAACCAAGCTTGCAAAGTAAATTTCACTCAAACTGAAATAGGTTAAAAATTCAAATTCATTAACTAGCTGAGATTTGCAATCTCTAAGCTTAAAATGAGTAAGAACTGCATTTATAGAAGGAAATTACATAAAATAGAGCAGTGGTACCTGCTATTGCACAGCATGCTAGTTACCTCCTAAAGGGAAAATCCAAGGATCTGCTCAGACACAAAATAAAATTGCACAGAAAAAACCCCCAACAAAACAAAACAAAGAAACCCACCCAGAACTTTCCTTTAAGAGCACCTTATTTACTGTGTTGCAAACCAATTTCTTGATAGGAATAAGGACAAGGTATACATTTTTGGTGTGCCACAGTCACCCTGGCCACACTGCAGTCTTGCCTGCTAGTCTGAGATGAGACATGGGACTGACTGTGCCATCCTCACCCCAGCCTACGAGCGGCTGCCCCTGAACACAGCTGAGGGTGTGTGTACACACACGTGCAAGCCCACTGATCCAGCGACTTGCACCTTCATCTGCGAGGGGCTTACTTGCCTGAAAACACTTCTCTAACATTCACCTGAAGAGAAGATCACAGATTGTTTCTGGAAGGCTGCTCCAGCCTGAGGTTGTAACAAATTGAAATAAAAACATGAAGGAACCAGGAAAGACATTTCTAAGAATGTCCAAAATCAGCAAACACCAAACAACGTTAAGACTTCAATGAGAAGTGTCTCCATACCATGCTAACAGCCCTTCAAGTCACCACAGCCTCCATTCAAACCTATTAGAAGTAATATAGAAGCTGTGGCATGCAGACAGCAAAGTCTTCAAACATTCACTGAGAGATGCTTGGACTTTAAAAGTACTGTGTAAGCCATAAATACCTCCCATCCCCACCAGTCTTTCCAAGTAAACTTGAAATAAAATCTTGCAATAATATATATTTTGAAAGAGACTGATCTTCCTTTAAACAGAGATTTTCCCTCTACACCAGAGGGCTTCTAGATGTTTTACAGAAATACAGTTACTGTGGATGGACAAAATAAAGTGCCAGGGGTTCAGCTACTTTCAATATGTAACAACAATTGTGATTGTTTACCTGTGATTCATAACTCAGTGATCTGAAACTACCAGCCCAAGTGGTACTAGCTGATTGGTAAGCACTTTGAAAATATGAATGAATAGTCCCCTCATGCAAAGAGCCAGTGTTACTGTTCAAGATGGATGGCTGCACACATTTGCTAGGTAGAGTGGGATCCTGCTGTTACTGAAGGACTCACTGAAAAAGGACAGACTACAGTGTGATTTATGTTAACAGCAGAACAGTCCTTTACATCAGTAAACGCCACGCTCTACAGCTTGTCCTCACTTGTAAAATGTGCAATCCCAGAGAGCAGCTTCCCTTTAAATCAGGGTTCTGAAGCCCCAGCCTGCCCTCTGCTCCTTTGCCAACCACTTGGAACAGAGGTCACATCCATGTTGAGGGACATCAGGGAGCTGCTGCTAGCTTGCCCTTCCTAACAACTGAGCATCTTAATGGCTGTCTGCAGCAAGAGCAGGATGCTCCATGAACTCCAGCTCCCACAAACACACTTTGGTGCCACCCAGCCCTGAATTCTCTAATCACGCTGTAGTCTTCTACTCACATAGATGGCTACAGAGCAACGTGGTGGTCTAAAAAATGAAATTCTTCCCTCTAAATATCAAATGCCTTCCATGACACTGAATAAAAAAAAAGGCAATTTATAACACTGATCAAAAGGCAATAGAGGCAAGATTCAGAATCACAGCTAGCTTCCTCTTGAACACATTTATCTTCAACTATACTAACTTTAATATTCATTACAGTAGGGGAAAAGCCCCCTTACACTAAGAAAATTGGTATGGCAAACTTATTCGTTTGTGCCACCTCCCTTTACCCCTCACTCCCTTCTCTTTGATGTTTTCTTTTATGGACAAAAGCTGAGATGACTACACTTTCCTTGCCTTAAGATGAACCTTCAGAGTATATGAATTGCTAGAGTAAATAAAAGAAAGGAGGGAATTACTAATTTAATGCTGTTCCATCTCTTGGGGGAAAAGCCCATGTAATTAACTATAATGAGATTAAACTAACTTGTTGTTATTAATTTCCCAGTGCTGCGAAACTAAATCTGAGACCCATAAGACTGTGTATTAACAGCTTTATCAACATTTGGCTTGCATCCTTCAGTGTTTACACCAGTTTTAAAGGAAAATGATTAACTTAATTGAGTTGCAAAGTCACTTAGAAGTATAAGAAATTGAACCTGGTCCCTTTAGGCAGGAAGGCCACATTTCGCTGTAGCTGAAGCCTGTGAATGGGTAGAGTCAAAAGCCACACTGCTCTCCAACACAAACACACACAAGTATAATTATTAAATCCTTACCAAAACTTTTTTCCATTACTTCCTTCTGACACATATCTTGAACATTCACTGTACAATTCACGATGAACTCGGGAGCGGAGCAGTCATTATTTAGCTGGAACTCCTCACACTGGTAGCACTGTATTTGCAAACCCAAGCCTAAAACAGATCGACTTTGGTCAGGATAATAATAGTATTAAAACCAAACCAAAACAATCAACACGTGCCACAGATCTTCCTTACCTTTCCCTCTTCGCATTTCGTTGTGCCTATCTACCCAACAGCCCATCAGAAGTGGGACTTCCACACAAACAACGCAAGATAAACGCGTCGCCCACTCTGCTGAGACTATTCCTTACACGCTCAGCACCTGGTTAAGAAGCAGGCTCCGTTCCGCGGGGCTCTGTGGCGGACACCCGGAGGAACCGGTACTGAGGCGCTGCCG